AAATCTCTGTTTTGCGAAAAGGTGATTCGCGATTGGGCCAACAACAAATTATTCCAAGCAAGAGAAAACACTAAAATCTCAAATTTTAAATTTGCGTATTTGCTTACTTTCCGTCAATTTAATTTGCTTGAAGAAGAGCCTGTGACCTTACGAGAAATCTTAAACTTTTCTTCAATATTAGATGACCTTACATTTGAGTATATTATAAACCATCCCGAAGAAGTTTTGATTATCCTTGACGGCTATGATGAGTATTCCCAGCAGGATTAAATCTCTGGAAACTCGGGGAACAAATATCAGAATGACGCTAGATGTAAAATGCCAGTGGCCGCATTATGTTCAAAACTCATCAAGGGAGAGATACTGAAAGGTTCTGTCGTAGTTGTAACCTCGCGGCCTGATGAATCGGATAAGCTGGGAGGAATCCGGTTTAAACGGTACGTGGAAATTGTGGGGTTTTCTTCACAACAGGTTAAAGAATACATTGAAAAGTACTTCAAGAAAAACGAAAATATGAAGAACGCTGTGCTTGAACATGTCCTGAAGAATGAGAACCTAGTCAGTTTTGCTCATATTCCTATGCTCTGTTGTCTGTTGTGCTTCGAGATGGAGTATACTCTAAACGAAACAAGAAATCTTCATGACCTTCCTGTCTCAACAACCGACATTTATACAAAACTTATTGATATTTTTGAACTTAAGCACTGCTCTGAGTCAGAATACAAACACAAAGAAATTCCTAACAAATTCAAGCCTCCTCCGGTCATCAAAACCACATAAGAGAAATTATCAAAACTAGCGGCAAAACTGCTGCTTGAAAGGAAGTCAACTTTTAATGAAAGCGAGATAGAAGGCGGTTTTGAGTTGGAAGAAGTCAACATACTGAAAGGTAGCGGTCTTCTTTACTGTGGTCAGCCTTATAGGACTGGTTCGATCAGAACCACGAAACACTTCAGCTTCACACATGTCACTGTCCAAGAATTCTTAGCCGCCCATTGGTTTGTAAAGGAAGATTGTATTCCAGTCGAGAAATGCCCTGAAATGGTTTTACAATTCATGGCTGGCATTTTGTCAAGTGAGGGAAAAGAGAAACTGATGGAAAAGTTGTTGACCAATCGTCAAGTTTCAGGGAATGATATTACATTTCTCAGAGCAAAGTGTCTGAGTGAGTATCAAGACAAAGAATTCGCTAAAACGTTTATCAGGAATCATCCGCAAGCGTTCAATAGTTCAGACGGCGTCATGTCTTTTCATTTTTTATCAGATATAGACTGCATTGCATTATCATTTGTGTTGGAAATTATCAGTGAACTAAACAAAGAGAAAGCTGGAGAGGCACAACACAAATGTTCTGATAAGTTCGTCCCAGTTAAGGAGCTGGGGCTTTTTAATTCCCACCTAACAATGTCTGGAATACAACGAGTCTGTAATTCCCTGATCAATGAACATTCTCTTGTGTCTGAATTGATTATAGGAGGATCAGTCGTAAATCTGTGGAGTAGTAAGATCACTGATACCGGTGTTGCCAGTCTATGTGAAGCTTTACAGCATCCAAGCTGTAAGCTAACCACACTAAATCTGAGT